TGGTAGTAAAGCACTGAATCACCTCTTTAACCTTTAAATTCAGCTTTATTTTTGCTCATCATCCCAGAGAAGTTCCATCTTACATGCATCCCCTTCTTACTGCCCTCCTCAGTATTTACATAAACTGTTGTCACGGAGCCCAATCTGCAGCATAAAGGAGCGGCGTGTTGCTTAGCATAAAGACCGCGGTCTTATCTCAGCACCTCCTTCCAGATGGGACGAGGCCGAGCATTGCGACACTCTCACACAAAAAACACGCGGAGGCTTGCACCCAAGCTGGGAAACAATAAGAGAAAACAAGCTTTTGTTGCACTGGAGGAGCGATGCGGTTTCATTCCTGGCTGCTCGTGCTTGCATGTTCAAGGTGACTGTTTGTAATTTTAGATTTCATTTCTCTAAATCTTCAGCCTGTTTTCCAGTAATTTCGTATGTGAATAATTTCTGTCCCAGATCGGGATGCGAAGTGAAGCCATAAATTACAGCATGAATCATGGATTATTCCCTAATCACATCTGATAATCTCTGTCCAGATACGGCTCCTGTCACAGGAAAATACGCATGGGCCAGAGAGAGAAGAGGATGCTTTTTCATCTTCCTTTCTTAAATCCTCAGAACCTAGTCGGTGTGACTTCACGGGTCACCCCTCTGTAGCGCGATCCCCTCCTTCCTCCCTTTCTTTAATACTCTCTCTTTGGAGTAAGTCAGGGGGACAGGCGGTCACACAGTCGCCAGCTTCATGATTAATGGTGTTTATTCTTGACAGAAGGCTTCTTTTTATTTATCTGCATTGCAGTTTCACTGATACCATCGGTCACCTGAATGAAAAATATTCAGTCATACCAATTTTGCAGCATAATTGAGTAGAGTCACTTCCTTTCAGTGCCCCCCCCTCCTCCCTTTTCTTCTTTCTCCCTTCCTCTCTTTCTATCTGGCAGCCTTATCACTGCCACAGTAATTTTCGCGCTGCGTTGTTTGATATGGAGAGGCTGACTTTAGCCGTATTTGACATAAAGCCTCTTCAATTTTCTCAGGAGCAAGGAAGGGAAAAAAAAAAAAAAAAGTTGTGCACCGATTTCTTTTATTATTTTTTTTCTGAGGCAATTTCAGGATTTAGAGAGAAAGGAGATAAATGGCTAAGAAGAAATGTGGGCAGATTGAAGTTACTGTATATCTATTTTTTTGTGATACACTGGGTTCAGAAGCCTAAATGGGAAGTCTAGCCTTTTTTTTTTTTTTTTTTTGTCCAGGATCATGATATTTTAAGGCACCTGAGTATTTTTGAATGATGGATCCAGCAGGTTGAGAAAGAGAGTTCGGCACAGCAGAAATCTGACAAGGCCTGTAAAGGTTTTAGGGTTGAGTCATTAGCTTTGGAGATCCGTTAAGACATGTTCTAAAACTCCACTAAAACCTGCTAGGATTACCCATTCCTGGGCGTTAGTATCCCCCCTTAGTTATAAAGCATTTTTTGTGCCTCCCTTTAATCCCTTTAGAATGGTTTTAAATCTCCAAAATGCATTTGAATCAAAAGTATTTGGACTGATTATTTTTTTATATAAATATTTATTTCTTTTTTTCCATTGCTTCTTTGAATTTAAAATGAAAGTCCATGAAAAACAGCTTTGAAAAAGGTACATTTTTTGATAAAAGGGGAACACATTAATCTCTAATACGAGGCCTGCAAATTTGCACGTTACACATTAGTGGATTTGATTTTCTATACACGAGTCATTTGCCCCCTCTTCATGTTTGAGATCTCAATTTGTAGCTCTCCCAAGCAGCACAATGGAAAAACCAGGTCTGAAGGGGAGAGATAACAGGCAGGTGCCAACAGCGCTGCGCTAATGTGTGTGCGACTGTGTGTGTGAGAGAGAGACGCTGTGCGCGCACGCACACACTTTAAACACAAATATAAAAACAGACGCGTCTGAAATAATTTAATCTTCTGTTTCATCTTTTAATTTTCTTTGCGGTTCTGCATCTTTTATTTCTCACTTAAACATCTAAATAAATTTACATTTGTATTAAACTTTCTGTTGTTTATCAGCTTGTCAGCATTTGGCAAGATTTAGATGCCCCTTTTCATTTTATTTTCCAATAGCAAACCTGCTTCCGCTGTTGCATTAAAATGTAAAATAATATAATATGAATTGGAATCTGGTTCACTAACTAAACTTCCAATGTGAAAAGGTCAGTAAATAAATGCTGCAACATCTCTCTATATTTGTAAAATAATTATATTTTTTAAAAGCTTAAAATCATTGCACTTCTCGTTTTTTTTTTTCTCAATTAAAACTTTAAATTGACTGCACATTTTGTTTGACCAGCTTTTGTGGTTTTCATCTTAATCATCTTATTTGCCTTTTTGTAAAACAAAAAAATATTTAAAAAAACAGCTTGAATTATATTTTAGATAAATAAAAGCACAAATCTTAAAAAGTTAGTTCATGAAAAAATGCTACAACCTTCTACAACTTCAAATCTCTCTAAAATTTTACAGTTATATAGCAAATATTGATGAATTAAAATGTATACTACTATTAGACTCTGTAGTCTTTTATATTTTTTATTACTTTCATTCTTACAGTTTGTCACGTTTTATTCAGTTTTTATGCAGTTGTTTTTCTCTTAAATATTTGACCATATGAAAAGGGGGAAAAAAAGCTTTTATTCTAGAATTTAAATTAATGATTTGCATCAAAACCAAATTACCTGGCTGGGTTAAAAACAAGTAAAAAAGCACAAAATAATATTCTTTTCCTTTTTTGTTTGGATACCTAAATAAATGTAAAATCTATCAAATGTTAAAAAATGAATGTTGCAAAAATGAAATATATTTAGCTGAAAAAAGAATTGATTTAATGTTTCTCAGCTAATTCATGAACTTCAACTGAAGCAAAGACACAGGTCCTCTGATGGAAACCTGTCAGGAAGAGGATGGGCTGCTGTAAAAGCTTGCAACATTAAAGTCTCACCACACAAGAGACATTAATGACAGTTAGTAAGGTTAGCTTTATATCTTTATAATAGGATGAATTAGGAATTAGATTTCCCTAAAGATTAATAATCTATTTAAGTTTTGGGAGTTTTATTTAATTTTTTGTAACCTGCATCTTGCAGACATCATGCTGCAACTGTAGAAAAGTGGAATTTCCATTACTCTGTTCTCTGGGCTCCGGACCCCGCGATCCCACTCTGGGGGCCAGTTATAGCAAGTAACGAGACCTCAGGAACAGGGTCATAAATCCACTCCAACTCTCCTTATTTTCCTTCCACTCTACCCTTCCTTTCCAACATCTCTCCTTTGCTTTGACTCTCTAGCGAATGATTGAAGGGGAGCCTAAATGAACATAGTGTGAAATATTACAGCATGTTCGTTATTGGGGGCTTTTTGGTGTGACTCAGGGTAGGCCAATGTGGGAAGAAATGACTTCTTTCCCCTTTAACATTAAAACCTATCACATAAAGAAGTTCTTTTTGTTATGTCACTCATCACATGTGGCATCCATTAGGTCTGATGGCGTGATCGAAAACAGTTTCATCTTCTGATGCTGTTTGAAGCAGGAGCCATAAAGAAGTCCCCTCACTTTGTTCATCTCCCATGATACCATGCTAGTCTCTGAGAGGGTGAAGTGTTTTACATTGTAACCGTCCAGGGGGAGCTCTTCAAATAAGCAGAGTCTTTGGACACAGCTGCATGGGAATACAGTAAGGCTCCAGCTGCATGTCCATCGTGTCTTTGACCTTTCTTTGAAAGTAATCTTTACTAAATTAGGCAGGAAAGTTTAATGTAGTCCATGGAATCACTCTGGGAAGGTTCCTACCAGAGACACTTTTCCTCTGTCATAAGCTGTGTCTGTATTTTCACACACGTATCAAGTTCCTATGGAGGCCTGAAAGGGTCTAAAAGTAGGAAACTTTTTTTTATATCTTCTAAATTGGAAATATGGAAAATGTGACTTTTTGGGTGCCATCCATCATCCTATATCCCTCCATCCATCCATCCATCCATCCATCCATCCATCCATCCATCCATCCATCATTCTTTATCGATCCATCCATCCATCCATCCATCCCTCATTCTTTATCCATCCATCCATCCATCATTCTTTATCATCCATCCATCCATCCATCCATCCATCCATCCATCCATCCATCCATCCATCCATCCATCATTCTTTATCCATCCATCCATCCATCCATCCATCCATCCATCCATCATTCTTTATCCATCCATCCATCCATCCATCCATCCATCATTCTTTATCCATCCATCCATCCATCCATCCATCCATCCATCCATCCATCCATCATCCATCCATCCATCCTTCTTTATCCATCCATCCATCATTCTTTATCCATCCATCCATCCATCCATGCATCCATCATCCTTTATCCATCCATCCATCCATCCATTCATCCATCCATCCATCATTCTTTATCCATCCATCCATCCATCCATCCATCCATCCATCCATCCATCATTCTTTATCCATCCATCCATCCTTCTTTATCCATCCATCCATCCATCATTCTTTATCCATCCATCCATCCATCCATCCATCCATCATTCTTCATCCATCCATCCTTCTTTATCTATCCATCCATCCATCCATCCATCATTCTTTATCCATCCATCCATCATTCTTTATCCATCCATCCATCCATCCATCATTCTTTATCCATCCATCCATCCATCCATGCATCCATCATCCTTTATCCATCCATCCATCCATCCATCCATCCATCCATCATTCTTTATCCATCCATCCATCCATCCATCCATCCATCCATCCATCCATCCATCCATCCATCCATCCATCCATCCATCCATCCATCCATCATTCTTTATCCATCCATCCATCCTTCTTTATCTATCCATCCATCCATCCATCCATCCATCCATCCATCCATCCATCCATCCATCCATCCATCCATCCATCCATCCATCCATCCATCCATCCATCCATCCATCATAAATTCACAGTAAATGTATGTAGTTTTATTTAATTGTATTTTATTAGGGGACAAGAACACACTTGGAAACGTTGGAAGCTTGAATCAGAACAGCTATGGACATTTTACCAGAAACATATGCAGTAACCCTGTAAAGCAGCTGCTTTTTGAAACACTCTCATTTTGGGGTCAGTCCAAAAATTTCTCCATTTCTGTGTTTAAGCCTCCCAAAGCTTCATCAAGCTGGAGCGCTACACCACCACGCATTCAGGCACCCTTTCATGATTAAATATCAAGGAACTCCACTTGACGTTTTATTAGCCCAACAAGATGGATGAAACGGGCAGAATAAAGTAGGCTGTGTCTGTTCACTTTCCCACCAGCGCTTGCCTTTCTTCCGTCCAGCTTTCCTCTCCATCCCCTCCTCTGCAAGAAGAAGTATTTGTTAGGAGAGCGTGATGGATTTGGCTCCAAATAGAAGATTTTCTTAGTGCAGAGGAGGCAACACATATTTCTGTCTTGTACCTGATGCTCCTGTTGTCTCAGCCGACCCGCTTTCCTTTTTTTCCCCCCTTCCTCTTGTTGTACCTCAGATCTCAGTCTGAAGGATTAACTATCTCCAGCTGTGTGTCTCTGCTGTCTCGCATTGTTTAGGATTTGCTCAGGTTCGTCCGTGCGGCTGCTCATTCCTGCAACCCAGTGTGACGAGTAGGAAGGGGTATGGAGGGGGGGAATCGAGCGGCTCCTCTCTCGGCCCCCGGGCCACACTCATCCTCACTCACCCGTAGGTTGCCACCCCGCGCACGGACATGTGCGCTCATTACCCGACTTGACGGGCTGTGAAGGCTGTGAAGGTGTGGAACCTGAGCCCTGTTTGGCTGCAGGCATGGGTTGGATGTTTGTGTGCAGGCACCGGGGCCATCGAGACAATGCTGGAGAAGAAAAAGAAAGATAGATGTGCTTCCTCCCTACTTTCAGAAGTTTAACACTCTAACACACAGGAGTCCCCTCTAGTTTTCTCTTTAGCCTGAGGCATGCCAGAGGAACTCAGAGTGCAGCCTGAGAGCTAATTCCACCTGCGCTTACTTTGTTGCTTGGAAAGAAATAAAAGCAATCAAGCACATACAGGTGCCTCTGAACGCAGTAGAGTACCATTTATTCCATAAACTCAATCCAAAAGTGAAATTTTTACATCATATAAATTCATTACACACAAAGTAATCCGTTTTTACTTTTTATCTCTTCTGATATTGATTTGGCTTCCAGCTGATGAAAACACAAAAACTCAGTTTGACAGATAGCTTTAATATTAAATAACACCTCCCTAAAAGGGATTTTTATTAAAAAACATTTTATGTTATGGTCGAGGCAATCATGAGAAGTACTGCTGACCTAAACACCTCAATCAAGGAGGGTAAAAACACAAAAAGATCAAATTAACACACCTTCTCAAAGGGGTGTAATTGCATTCTTAACAGAATAGGTGGAAGGAAATGGTGTGGTTTAAAAAATACCAAGGAATACAATTATATCCTAATAGAAAATATGTCTGTCTATTGTACCAAATATACATTCAATACTTTATCTGCTTTAGCATGGGTTTATTCTATAGAGTTTCGCCTTTAGGTCAGGGACAGCAGTACCCTTCACTCCTGGAAGTAATTAAAACCAATATGGCAATAAAGAATTTCAGCAAAGTATGGGTTGCTCAAAGGTTTGGTCTTCCTCTATACTCTATGATGTTATTTAGATGTAAAATTTAACTAATCTTTCCGATAAACTTTCCAAATTGGGTGCTTGGATACAGGACTTTCTGTACTGCATGCCTTTTAAAGCAATGACATCCTCATCAAATGTGTCAAAAACTAAAACAGTGTCTTCACCTTATTTTTCTATAGAATATTTATTAAAGGTTCAGTTCCATTGTACCCATTTGATATTTACATTTTTAGATACACTTTTTAATATATAAATTTCCCTTTTTGCATTAAAATAACAAAAAGTATAGTTTTGTTTATGATAAAAGTAGATTAAAGTAAAATATAAGTTTAATGCAGTCGGCTCCTTTGTAAAGAGTCAGAAATCAAGCTTAGGGAGAAAACTAAAAGCAAGAACAAACAAATCTTTCTTTTGTTTGTTTTGTTTTTCGCCCAGTGTTTGTTCTCTGACTCCAGCCCCCTTGAAATTACAGGAAAAAAGGCGCGCTCATTTTGTGCAATTTCACTTTCATGTTTTCTTTTTTTTTCTTTGCTGCGTTCTTGGCTGATTCGTTTCGGTAGACATTCTTATCTCAATGGCTGAAAATTACATTTAATTGCAGTGTGGAAAAAAACGGGTTTTCAAAACAGAATGTGGGAATGAAAAGGCATCAACTGCTTCCATTTAGAATAACTGCAAAGATATGGTGAGATAAATAATAATCCTCTAGACTTATTTTCTTAATTAAAAGCTGGAAGCTAATGTGTGTGTGTGTCTGACCCCTTGCTCACTGACGTTTGTGCACAGAAACAGAAGCTCTGACACCTGGACCCGTTTGTTGTGACTTAAAACTCGTCACAGTCTCTGAATCCTGTTGATAAATGCGTTTTAACTCCGGCGGTGTGGAAGTGATACGTGCCCACGGGGCTTTGCAGTGCTTTTTCCGGGTGTACACAAGATCGCATGTGTGCACCCGCTCCTCCTGCTGCTGGTGAGATAATAGTGTAACACCCGAACCATAGCTGTGTGTGCTGGTGATCTGACTCTGCACAGTATGGGAATGCCTGGCACGCCTCCAGAGTTATCCAGCAGAGAGGGAATCCTACTCGATGTGATCATGAATAGGAAGCTGGACCCACCCAGGCCTTTGATGTCAATGGGTCACACAGAGATGTTGCAGCTCTGTCGGGGGAGTTAGCATAGTTCCTCTCAATGCCTGGCAACCTTACCAAAACCATGCCAGGCCCAAAACCTGCCCTGCAGAGCAAGAAGGAAAACAACTTCTGGATATTAGGCTGTGTATTTTTCTCATCATACCAATAAAAGCTCTAAAAATGCTTTACCTTGAGTTTTAATTAGATTACAGTGCTATAAAGGGTCCCTCTGCCTGGTTTTGTATGTCACATCTGGAGGTGAACTCAAACATATAGGAAATACATACTTTTTGGTCGATAATGCTTGTTTCATTTTTCATTATTTTATTTCACTACCTAAGAAATGAAATATATTAATGTGCCCGTTGCAATGCACTCGCAGACCACTAGAGGTGGTGGAAAACATATTTGCCTATTTTTAAAAACTGTTGCTTGTGTTCCTTTTGGAAAGCACTTATTTTGGCCTTGAATCTCTCCCATCGATTCCATTTTTGCCCAGAATCTTTCATGTTGTTAAATAATTTGCGACGATCCCAACTGAGGCAAGTAAGTAGTGCTTTAGATATTTTGGTTTATTTTGTGACTTCCTGGATAAGTCATCAGAGTCAATGAAGGTTCACCGCTGCTCCATGTTTTCTCCATTTGTGGATAACAACTATGTTCCGATTCATTCCAGAATCGTACATGTCAGACATTGTTTCTCATCTGCTGAAATAGATTTTTTTTCCTGCCTACTTCATGTTATCAGGTAAGTTTTATTTAAGTGTTTTCTGAATTCAGCTGCTCCAGCAGTAATAGGGCATAGTCGTAACGTATGAAAATAAAGCAAATAATTGTGGAGAACCGCAGGCTGATTTGACCCGCAGCTCACATCTGGTTCTTTAAATACTAAACATGCATGAAATGTCACTCAAAAAATGCTCAAAGATTACATATCCTTTCTGTTTTCAGTAAGTGCACCTACAAAAACCCACATTCAGTTCAAAAACTGTTCTTATTTAATTTATAAAGTGGCCGGCGATCATCTGGGTTGTCGGCAAATCCTTCACTACTAGGATAGTCGGATTTGCTTCCCATACTGGCCAACAGTAATATACTTAGAAAATCTGAAAACAAAGAATGTTTTAAGTATTTATTCTTGCAATTCTAAATGTGTCTCTTTTGTTAAAAGGGAAAAAAGACTCTAAAGGCAGCATCTGTTTATGTTCTTCTAAGTCATTGCAGTATCAGAGTCCATATTCCTAAATTAGTGAAATGCAATAATATGTGGTTGTTATATTAATTTCTTTTCCATATTATCTATTGACAGAACTATGATATTTTGCCGGAAGTCATGCAGGCTGTTAGAGAGCTGCATTATTTCAAATAATATAACTTGTGGTGTACAGGTCAACTCTCAAGTTCTTTATTTAATTAAGTCAAAGGTAAGGTGGCTCTGTTTGAATAAAATATATATGTCAGCTCTAATTGCTCATTGCTAACATGATTGCCATGCATACTGTATTGATCTGACCTTGAACATATTTGATATGCATGAAAACTGTAGAGCAGGAAAGTCAAACTCCGATTCTTGAGGGCTGAAAACCTGCATTTTATTCAGCTATGCGCAAAAAGAGACACATCTAGATGTTGCAGGACATTAAGCCACAAAGATTGGAGTTTGACTTCCAAGCAGTAGAGCATCAAGTTAAGTGGGTGAACTGTCAGAACCTATAGGCAGCCCTTTGTGAGAGGCTTTTGAAAGGTCATCAATATTTGTTATGAAACACCCTTTGCTAGAATATTTCATAACTCCTTAAGCAGACCAAAGTACTTGAAATGTCTGTTAAAAGGTGAACTTAATGAAGACTCTCCCACTAAATCATCAAGCACTCAGTCTATCCGTTCTCGTCTCTCACTTTCTATCTTGTCTTTCTTCTTTCTCCCCTTGTCTCAGCTCCCTTTCCTCTCTCCTTGGGTCTCAGCTGGCTCTGTTCCTATGGCCCTTTGATCTCAGAGAAAGAGTTTTGACTTTTAAAGTGCTTCTGTTTCCGCTGTCAGGAGCCCTTCTCTCCCCCCCTCTTTGGGTTAGGCTTTCAGAGCGGTCACGGCAGCATTGTGCCGCTGTTCTGTTTGGCTGGGTGGGTTGGGAGATGGAGAGTGAATGCGGGGGTGTGGGTATCTGTGAGGTGGTGAGACTGAGGTGAGGCTAGAGGGGGGAGTGGATGTGCAGTTCTGTTAGCCTTAGTCAGGAGAGGGACCTGACAGGAGAAAACAGCAGTTCCCACATCACTCAGCCCCTTGTGGCCACAGGTGTAAGCATGCACATGTTCCAAATACTTTTTTAAAACCTCTGGGGAGACTCTCGGTGCTAGATATGATCTCATTTTGGTGTAAAAGTTTAGCATTTTTTGCTGAAATATAAATAGTTACAGGGCTCAGATGTAGTCCTGCAAAGTCTGGTAAAAAGAGAAATCTGTCTTGATCATTTTTCAAATCTGAATGTCTTTTTTAAAGATGTCCCATTTAATCCTGAGTTATGTAGCAGCAGTATTACTTTTAGATCTTATGAGTTGCTGCTGAAAACTGAAATAAAAATGTAAGACTTTTACGTTTTCCTTTGAGCAGTCCAGCTCTGCAGCAGTTAACTCACAGAAGTATGACTCCCAAATACGGTACTCTCCGTCTAAACTGTTTCCATCGTATTTTATGCTTTTCCATTTACTGGGCGATTCTTATTTTAGCCAACAGCTGTGTCCAAACCATCAGGTCCAACTGCAGCACCACAATGATACCTTCTTTCCTTGAGCGAACACACCAGCCTTCCCAACAACTGCTTTGTTTTTGCAGTTTTCTCTCCCCAGAAATTATTAGTGTTGATCCAACCTTGCTCCAAACTAAGAGTCAAGGTCGACTGCGAACCCGCAGTGCTCCATAAAAC